CAAGTCTGGCCTTGAACTCATCTTCCTGGTCCTGCCTCTAATTACTAGGTAGGATTCAGGAATACATCACTATTCCAGAAAGCATCTACATTTCTAACAGGCTTTTTTCCTACTAGCACAATGTTGAGTCCCTTTCAGTATACTTTGTTTCATTTTCTTTTAATTTAATTTTTAATGTATTGGCGTTTTGCCTACATGTATGTCTGTACACCAACATAATTGCCTGGTGTACATGGAGGCCAAAGGAGGGCATCTGATCCCCTGGAACTGGACTTATAGATAGTTGTGAGCTGCCATGTGGGTGCTGGGAGTTGAACCGCATCATCTGTGAGAGCAGCCAGTGCTCTCAACCATTGAACCATCGTCTTTCGACCCTCTTATTTAGTTTTCGTTTCTTCTGTATTTAGTTTTTTTTTTTCAGACAAGTCTGTATTGTATATTGAGCAATTTCCCCTCAAACATTCTTTCATACATTCTTACTCTCCCCCTTCTCATTTATTTTAAACTGATAAAAAATTTCTATATTATGGTATACAAAATGGTACTTTGAAATATGTTTTATAGAATGAATTAAGCAGTTAGCTTGTATATTACCTCACATAACCAACAATATTAACTTTTGCATATTTCATGTATCTTCTCACTAGCCAATTCCCTAGCTATTTCTGCTTTTTGTTGTTAGTCTTTTGAAACAAGATCTCATATTTATAGCTCAGTATAGCCTCAAACTTCTGATTCTCCTACCACCTCTACCCAAGTGCTGGGGTTGCAAGCATGTGCTCATGCTCTATTTTTTAAACTATTTGTTACAGAACCATAGGTAATACCAAAATCAGTATTTGTTTCCTGTTGGTGACACATTAAGATGAAGTGGCTTAATTAAACACAAGTCCATGGTGGCTTGTGAGTCTGTATATCTAGGCCTTTTATCTAGCCACCCCTCCCCCTCCATAAATTCTCTTAGTTCAGAGATGAGAAGTGCAGTGTGAGTCTGATTCCAGTCAGTGGGGCGGGCTTCTCCAGGCTCTATGAGAGAACCCATTCCTCCTCTCTTCCATCCCAGGTTTCCTGTTTCCTGGCCATGACTGTCACTCCAGTCTCTACTCCTGTCATCACATCACTCCCTCCAATAAGAACACCTGTGACTGCATTAGGATATTCCTGGAACCTCTCATCTCAAGATCCACAACTCTGTCATTTTTCCACAGTCTGGTTTACCATCCAACACAGATTCCTGGGCTGAGACTGGCATTTTGGTTAGGTTGACAGGTGATGGGGTCTGTGTCATCTTCGTTCACATAGTAGTAATTGTGAGGTTCCAAAAGCAGCAAATAATTTTAAAATATTGTTAATTTTGCTATTTCTTAATTGGCTAAAACAAATTATATATCCAAACCTAAAGCCATTGTGGGAAGGCATTACCACACAGAGGTCCAGGTTCTAGATGATGAGAGCAAACTGGAACTCCTTACTAAGGTGGTAACTCCTAACTTTCATAGGTGTGGTTTTAGGAAACTAATTTGCTAGCATTAGAGACGGAAGCCACACAAACACTAAGGAAGTAAAATCCTTGTGTAAGAGGAGTCGCCAGGCCCAGTGGATTTGGTGGTGGATTCAGTTTAATATTTTATGACAGATTAAAGCCAGTCTTGTCTGGTGTGTGAAATCCCGAGGTTCAATTCATGACACACACAACTCTTACACAAATTCTTAGAGACTAAAAAATGAAATTTATGAATTCTGGACAGTTTGAGCATCTAAAAGCTAACCTTATGTAATACTTCATGCAGAATTTCAAGATAAAATATTAGCAAATGAAATTTTGTGTTATATGAGAGAATTACATATCAGAACCAAGCTGGGTTTCTCTATTGTATGCAAGGTTACTTAATTTTAGTTCACTAACACTCTTTCACAAAGGAAGCTTACATTATCTAAATAGAAAAAATATTTGGTATGTGCAGTATATATCAGTGCCTCAAACTAGGAGAAAAAAATTAATCACAGTTAATTGATTTTGAAAGCTTTTAACACACTCATAGTTATTAGTAAAAAGGAACAGATGGCACTGAGAAAATGGCAAAGTGCTTGTCCCCAAGCCAGCGGTCTGAGTTTGGATACCTAGCACACGTAAGAACCTATGTGTGGCAGTGCACACCTCTAATTCTGGGGAGGAGGCAGGCACACCATTGGAGATTGGAGCTCACAGTCTAGCCAGCCTACCCAAATTGGTGAGGTCCCGAAATGAAGAAACTTGTATCAAAGGTTAAGTTAGAGAGTGGCTGAGGAAGATCCCCATTGACAACCTCTGCCTTCACACATTCACACATGTACACGCACATGCTAAACAAAGCCAAAAGGTGAACAGACTGAAACGGTCCATCAGTGATAGCAGCTTAATGTTTTTAATCCAGAAAGGCATTGTAGTGTCAAGATGCGATTATCAAGATCAACGGACAAGTCATTCCCAGGCAATTCAGCATGAATGATCAGTGAATGTGTGAAATGTTAGTCAATGTTATTAGCAAATGAGGTTACAAAAATGAAGTAATGCTGCTTTAAAAATCAAGTATTCAGATATTTCAAGGTATGAGACACTACTGGCAAGGATGTGCTCTGTACCACAGCTTTTCAACACAATTCAATTCTCAATTGAACACAGAGACCTACTGTAAGTGAGTGTGAGTGTTACAGCTCTGGAGTTGCAAAGGTGTCCTGACTTATGGAGAAGCCAGGCTACCTAGAGCTATACAATAGGTCAGCTCTGGAGGCTGGAGCCACATTGGGACATCTCAGCCCTGAGAGAAAGGTGTCCTGGCTTGTCTGGTAGCCAGGCTACCTGAGGCTGGGGTGCAGTGGGGGATGGTCTCCCCACAGGATATAGCAATCCTGTTCTAGAAATGGCCAGCACAGCTGAGCTCTTATTGTTTCCCTCAGAGATGGTCCTTGCAGAGCTAAGTGCTTCTTTGGCCCTTGTCCTGCAGTTTGCTGAAGGGGAAGCCCCTGCAGAAATGTCCTCCGGCTCCCTCGAAACATTGTTATTTTTTTTCTGTTCAGCCTTGCTGAGCCCCACTAAGGGAATGTCTCAGCAAGTGAAAATCTTCACCCAAGACCCCTGTGAGAAAGAGATTTATTTAGGGAAGGAAGAATCCGGGAAGAGTGGGCTGCCTCTTCCAGGACGGGAAAGCATAACCAGAAACTCAATAGGCGGAGGGGCTTATACAGAGCTTCTTAGGGGCAGAGTTTTCCCTGGGGGTTGGTTAGTTTTTCCTGCCCGTTAGTGTAGTTGGTCAGGGACAGAGATGGCTCTGATTTGGGGGAAACTGTTTCTATCACTGGTCCTTTTTTAGCCTTTTGACTCTAATTTTAGAACCAGGGTGTATGTCTTTAACTGACTCTGATTCTAGAGACAAAGTGTGTTTCTTTTGCTCTGGTTTCAATGTCAGGATCTTTTTCTTTGGTTCTGGGGTCAGGGATAAAGTGCTTCCTTCACTGGCTCGTATTTCAGAGCCTAGGTGTGTTTCTTTCACTGGCTCTGGGTTCAGAGTCAAGGTGCCCAGGGATTGGTTGGTTTCCTGCTCAGGGTGCTCAGAGATTGGTTGGTTTCATGTTTCAGTTGGTCAGGGGCATAGTTGGCTCTGTTTTCAGGGCCAAAGTAGGTTTCTTTGGCTGGCCCTTTTACCCTACACGTCCATTACATAGACAACTCTCAGTTGTATAGAGGCCCAGACACCATGCAGAGTGAGAGACCTTGGAACATTCAACCCTAAATGGGATGTGTCTATTGAATCCCTCTCCTCAGAACTCAGGGAACCCCACCGAAGAGGAGGTGCAAAGGGTGTAAGAGCCAGAGGGAATGGAGGACACCAGGAGAGCAAGGCCCTCAGAATAACCTGAACAAGGCTCCCATGAGCACACAGAGGCCGTAGCAGCACACACAGTGCCTGCAGGGTCTGCACCAGGTCCTCTGTGGATGTGTTATGGCTTCCAGCTTAGGGATTTTATGGGGCTCCTGGCTGTGCAAATGGATGGGTGTCTGATTCTTGTGCCTTTTCCTAGGCTCTTTGTCTTCTGTTGGTTTATCTTGTCCAACATCGATGATAATTTTTGTCTTATCTTACTATATTTTCTGTAGGGAGAGATCCAGCTACCCGTGCCACTGACCGTGCCTGCTTTGGGCATGGCTACAGGTGCATACGGGCGTGTGGAATAAAGGGCTGAGAGGAGATTCACTCGCTCTCTTTTTCGGGTTCTGGTTGTAGGGAAAAGGGGCCAGTCAAAGTAACACACCCTGAGCAGAGCCAAAAAACACACTTTGGCCCTGCAACCAGAACCAAAGAAATGTACCCTTGACCCTGAAACCAGTACCAAAGGAATACACTTTGTCCCTGGAATCAGAGTCAGTGAAAGAAATGCACCCTGGCCCTAAAATTGGCTAAAAAGGACCAGAGAAAGAAACACACTTTGGCCCTGAAACCTTAATTCTGTGCAGAAAACTAACCAATCCTTGTACAGAGCTCTAGCCAATCTGAGCTCAGCACTGAAATCAGACCAATCCCTACTCTGGAAAAACTTCCCTGCCCCCAAGAATCCCTATATAAACCCTGTGTATGTTCAGCTTGTCTGGTCCAGCTGCTTCCTTCCAATAAACCCCTTCAGATGAGCTTTGGGTGAAGATCTTCTTTTGGGGTGGTAACCCTGGGCAGAGCGAGCAGGGCTGTAACACTTGCCCAGGAAACCTTCCTCGGCAGAGCAGAGTTGTTACACTCCGTTCCCTGCTGTCTGCTCTCTGCTCTCCAGGAGCAGAGCTGAATTGTAGTAACTTCGCCCAAGAAACTTCCAGCCCAACAAAACTGCTACACTAGGTGACCATCCCCAGCTGGAAGACCCTGTCCTGCCGCAGGGGAGCCGATACACTGGGAAGCCTTTCCCTGAGGCTGGGCTGTAAGCAGCTAAGCTTACTGCAACCTGTGGTAGTCCTTGACTCCCGAGCTCCAGGATACCTTTCTACCTGAGCTGTGTAACACTCAGTATTCTGTGGCTCCCAAGTGCCAGAATACCTGACCCACTCCTGTTCCATCCCGATCCACCCGAAACGCTTACACCGGTCAGGACGTGAAAGGCTGCAGAGACTAACCTGGGCTTTCAGTTTCTCATGTAAGTAATTTCTCACAATAAATAACCAACAATATCCTTATCCCGTGTACTGCTACATTTTCCTCAACAATTTTATTTTGTTATATTTTTAATATATCTCTTAGAAACCTTTTTTTTTTTTCTCTAAGAAACAGAAGGGGAGTGGGTCCCAGTGGGAGAAGGAGGAGAGGAGTTGGGAGGGTAGAGGAAGGGGTAACAGAAATTGGGGTATATTCTGTGAGAAAAGGATTTATTTTCAAGAAAAGTAAAAAAAAAAAAAAAATCCCAAATACCTCAAATTGGGACTCCTTCCAGAACAGCACTGAAGTACTAAGGTCCACCATCAGATTCTTTTTCAACATTTATTTGTTTTTTACTGAAGGGCATGAGCTACCACAGCACACATGCCGAGGTCAGAGAACAACTTTAAGGTGTAGATTCTCACCCTCCACCATCTAGAACCTGCATATTAACCTCAGATTGTCCAGCTTAGCAGCAAGTTCCTTTACCTCATCAGCCATCTTGCCGGCTCCCACCTGACCTCCCCAGGAAAACTGAAAGTGCTGTATTAAATTACCTTCACACTCAGTGAATGAAGTGTACGTGGTACTTTATCTTTCATGGTCCTTTGCATTAAGTCACGCCCCGATGTACCTCATGTGTACACGCACACATTCCTAAATATGAAGCCAATCAAGAGTTTGTTTCCAATAGGGATGCTCAGTCAGAATAGCCCCCAGGTGTACTTCGTTGCATATATGGAGTTTCTTGTTTCTCTCCATTCTACTTAGCTTACTAGTTGCAAACACTTAAAAACTGAAAGGCATCATGGAAAGATCTTAGCTTATTGTTCACAAGTTATTCCAGGAGTGGCGTCCCATTATAACTCCCTAAGGCACACGCTGTTGGTCTGTTGGTTAAAGGCATACTTGGCCCAGCTGCTACAGACAGTGTGTGTGTCTGTTTCTGTCTGTAGCACCCTCTAGACTGTCGCCACCGTAGTGTTACAGAATGTTATTTTAACTAGGTGAAGACGTGTTACACTTGTTTATGCTGCAGAATATTATTTTAACTGTGTAAAGGTATGTTACTTTATTTACACTGCATTTGTTTAATGATGTCAGCATGTGTGTTTAATTATGTATGATATGTTGCATCTGTTTAACCTTGCCTGCCTAAGGCACCTGATTGGTCTAATAAAAAGCTGGACATCCAATAGCTAAGCAGGAGAAAGGATAAATGAGGCAGGTGGGCAGAGAGAATAAGTAGGAGGAGAAAGACAGGCTCGAGAGAGAAAGAAGACCGAGGGAGAAGAGAAGAGAAAATGATGGAGATGCCTGGGGCAAGAAGCCGCACAGATGCCAGCCAGCCAGACATAGAGACTCAGTGAAAGTAAGATGCACAGAAGAAAGGTAACAAGCCCCAAGGCAAAAGGTTTAGGCTAAGTTATAAGAGCTAGCCAGAAACATACCTAAGCTAGACCGAGCATTTAAAAGGAACAATAAGTCTGTGTCATGATTTGGGAGCTGGTTGGTGGTCTCAAAGAAAAAGCCTGTGACACAGAATTTATTTCCTCTCTGCATGTAAATGCGCTGTATTTGGTGTTAACACCAATATCCTTTATAAAGTGTTGGCAAAGGATTTCTAAGCTTTTATTCTTCCAAAAAATAAAATTGTTCATTAAAGATTTCTTTTTAAAAGGTTTTTTTTTGTACAATCCCATAACACAGCTATGTACATTGCCCATTCTCTTATCATCAGCCTGCAGACGGCGACTCGCCGTGTTACTGGGAATGTCTGTCTTAAGGTTGCGCAGGAACTGTTCCCGGGGAAGCACACACTGCACACACTTCTGAAGGCACTCCCAAAAGCACAAAGAGGCTCTCTTAACGAGTAAGTGACATCAAGTTTATTGAAGCTTCGACTTGAACACATCACACATCTTATTTCTTTGGCCTCATTTCTTTGCATTTTATGTACACTATGTATATGTATGTTTATACATGTGAAATTGTCTGCAGGATATAAGCCTTTGAGTGATTTAACACTTCATACACCTAATGCTCCAAGATCCTCACAGTCTGTATTTTGTATCTAGAATATAGTAAATGGCAAGTAAGACTGACATTCCCTGATCCTTCCCATGTCATCTTATATGGCTTACCACCTCATCGGGAAACCCTGGGCTCCTCCCAGCATGCTCATCTCTCTTCATCATTCCTTCTCCCAGCACATTGATCTTACATTCTTAACATGGATTTGATAAGTGAATGTGTCCCTCATCTGTAGTCCATTGCTGGGCTTTAGTTAAGGCATGCCCAACTCTCTCCTGAGTCTGCATGGTGGCCTGCAGTTCTGACCTGAGACCCACAAAAGCAGAACCCGGAACAGTCTTCTGTTTAGGTTTATCTAGTTCATCCTGAGGGGAGACAGGAGGGAAAACCAACACAGTTAGCTTTATTGGGCAGGCCGCCGTTACAATGCACTGCTGCCCAGCCCTGTGGGAACACTTCCAGAGATGAGAAAAGGAGAGAGGCAGAGCTCTCTCAGCCTTCAAACCCCCAGTTCAAGAGCGTGATTTCAGTCCTTTGTGATCCCAGGTTGTACTTGCATGAAGACTCAGCAGCTCTGACGCCTCAAAGGCTTGGAAGTCCCCGAGGCACGTCCTCCGTCCTGACTCTGGCAAAAACGATGACATCTGAAAGGCTCAGAAGTGCCCAGTGCAATGACTCTGCCCCTTTCCAGGTCTTCCTGTTCATCTTTGATAGCCAGAGTCTTTGTAAAAGAAAACAACATCGCTATTTTCCTGCTTAAAATCTTCCAGTCTCTCCTAAAGCTTTCTGGGGGTGGGGCAAGGGTGGGGGAGGCTCCTTGGCCCATCCCAAGGCCCTTCCTACCTCCCTGGAACCATCATCACTGATGCCTCCTGCAATGTGCTCTGCTTGAGTCCTGCCTCTCCTCTGCTCGCTCTTCCCTCTCCCAGGGATGCCTGCCGTATTCTCTGCTTTTTCCTTCAAAAAGTCTTCCATGACTCTGCTCTTTTCCTCAGGCTGGGTTAGTTTCTTTTTAATGTCTTCCCACATCATTTATTGTTTCCTTTTAGCACAGAGTTTATGCCGGTACACATGGAAGCAAGGGCTCTACTACTGAGTAACATTCCGGGTTCCAGCTTCATCTAATTTCCTTATCAAACAAACACAGCTAGCTTCTAGCACAGATCCTGACAGACCATAGGTGTTCAGGCACAGTTCAATTGCTGCAGCATCAGTGGGAAAGCCCTGCAGAGGGGAAAGTGGACCAGTTCCACTGCTAAAATGAAGATCAACTCCATCTGATACAGGGTGGTCATTCTTCTCAGAAGTGTAAATCTGATGTGTCTCCACAAATGTGCCTTGGGAGGAATAGGGATTGAGCTTTTGAAATTCACATGTATTTATTTGTGCGTGTGCCATGGCACATGTGCAAGTTAAGAGACAACTTGTGGGTATCAGCTCTCTCTTTCCACAATGTGGGTCCTGTGCATTGAAGGCAGGTCATTAGGCTTGGTGACAAGTGCATTTACCCTCAGCCATCCCATAAGTCCCAGAAGTAAGGATTTTAAGTGTTAAGTTAGGGAAAGCTATGGGACAAGGACTCCAAGTCAGCACAGCATGGAGACACTTGCACATTAATACTTAACTGTGGAACCAGTCACAACAGCTAAGTTATGGAACTCGGTGCCCAGCAAACAGGTAAAGAAAATGTGATGTATACACAGTGGAGTTTCTACCCATAGGGAACAAAGTTATGACGCTTGCAGGAAAATGGGCACACCTAGGGACCATCATAGTAAGCAAGTTAAGCCTGTCTTAGAAAGACAGATGCTTTTCTCACTCCTCATACATTTTATATAGACACAAAATCATGTGTGGCTGTTGATGGACTAGAAGTGAAATGGTCTAAGGGGACAAGAGGGACGAGTGGGAATAGTGAGGGCTGAGAAAAGGGCAGCAACACAGACAGGAGACCGTACAATAAAAATGTGTGGGAAATGTCCGTATATAACTAGCCTGTATGACAAACACACATAATGCAAACGAAGGGGAGAGGCAGAAGCAAGTGGCTGCCTGGCAGTCTTGGAATGGACCACTGTGGTCATGTGCCTACAGCAAGTGTGACTGGCAGGTGTGTGGCAGCCTCTGGCAGAGCCTCATCCTGCCACACTAGTCTCCCTTTGTTGAGGCCACAAGCAGCCCCTCGTGCTCAGATGGAATTGGGCCATGGACCAGTGTCACTTATGTCGGGTTGAAAATGTGACAGAAGACATTAGCACTCTTCCTCCCCAAAGCTGCCAAGAGGTGTGGTATTTCTATCACGCAGGGAAGTGTGGGATAGACTTGGGGAAATCTTGTAGGCTCAGAGATGACTTTCTTGACTTCCAAATCTGCCAGGCAGAATTCATTTGCAGAAGAAGGGATTTAGTTAGATATGCTTGGCTTTGACAGTTTCAGCTTTCATGGCCTTAATTTTTGCCAACTTGATTGTAATTTCGGCTTTAAAAGAATAGTATGATTCTTAATTTTTTAAGGAAAATGACAAGAATGCTTGTAAATATTTTTGGTTTCTTTCTTCCTTTCTTTATTTTCGTGACAACGTCTAAGGTATCCGAGGCTGGTCTCAAAACCTCCATGTAGCCCTTGTTATCAAGAATGACTCTGAACTTACCCCACCCGCCCGCTTCCCGAGTGGCTGGTGTGTACCGTCACACCCAGTTTATGCTGTTCAGGGCTTCTAACCTTGTCCATGCCAGAAGCATTCTACCACTTGAGCTACATCTGCAGCCCCCGACTTCAGTGCTTCTGATGGTTCCAGTTCTGATTGTGAATAGGAACAAGCGTTGCTACTTCTATAATTGTCAATGTTAGGCGTTATTAACTGAAATTAAACCTTAAGTATTTTAAGTAGTGTACTCAGGTAGAAAGAATATTTATTCCCTTGCAGCCAGATGACAGACAGAAATAAACATCAACTTAGAAATACTT